GGGTGAGAAACCTATTTTTTCCCTTTTGTGCTATAATTCATGACCTTTGCTGGTTCTGCGTATTTGGTAATATCTTTCTAACCCTACATCTGTTTTCACACATTGAGGACAATGTGCATCTTAAGTTTGGGGGTAAGGCAGTGCTTTTAAAATTTTGTTAATGATATATTGTGCACAAGAGGATGCAATTTAACTGTTTAAGCATAATTTGAGTATGTTGATTGTTGTGATATCCATATGCAGTCTGATATTGGTTAAAGATGGCTTGTATGCCAAATTTATATTGAAAAGGAATTTTTGAAATTTTTTGAAATCAGTTGGTGGCCTGTGGTCCACTTTGTCAGGATGATTATTGTTTGATAATTTTTATCTTTGAAATACTTCACTTTGCACATATTCAGACATGCATGAATTCTGTAGGGTATAAACTGGAAGTCTTGTTTTGTTTTGTGATAGATTGAGATGAGAAGGTGAATTTGATAACCAATGTATAAAAAAATATAGAAAGGAAAGAAAGAATTGGTATGTATGCAATAAATGAAAAAAAAAAAAAAAATTCTTCACCAATGTGAAAAAAGAAAAAAAAAATGAAAAAACAAGTGAAGAAAAAAAGTAAAAAATGGTCAAGTTCAGGTCTATACCTAGATTGCTTGAGCAATTAAGTCCTTAGGGGTGTGTTCTAACACCCAATGCCCTAAGACCATCTGGTTTGGGAGTCATTAGTTGAAAGTTTGTTACATAAGGGGCTTAGGTTGCTTAGATTACTTGAATAATTAGGTCCAGAGGGGTGCTTTATCACTTAATGCCCTAAAACCGTCTGGTTTGGGAGTCATTGGCTGAAAGTTCGTTACATGGGTAATTTAGAAAGCTTAATAGACCTGAGCATTGCACAGTATCCTTTTTGAAAAATATATACCTGAAGAAAAAAAAAAAAATACCTTGGGAATTGAAATTTGAAAAGTTTGCCAGTAAATTGAGGGAGAACATGGAATGGATATAAGTATGGATAGTAAGCCACATGTTTGAAACTGTGAGTTCACTATAAAAAGGATTTTAGGGATTGAGATTATTGAATAAATGACTAAACTGACATATGGGGACCATGGTTACTAAATTGAGATTGAAGGTTTGAAATTTTCCCTGATTAATATAACTTGTTACACTTGTTGTAATTGATTAACTGATGCATTGCTGGGACATTATGATATGAAAATAGGTTTGAATGAGCTTACCATGCAATTAAGGCACTGATTTGAGAAATTTGTGGGTATCTTCACTGAAACCCTCACGAGACTACAACTCATCCACTAGGGGTAACTTAGGGGTTTAAAGGCTTGTTGCATAAGCTAAAAGTAACCGTGATTCCCACGAAAGCGGCTTTTTTGTTCTGTATTACTAAGGCACTAGCAATATGTAAGTTTGGGGGTGTGATGAACGCTGAATATTGTATATTCGAGTCCCTAAATATTGGTGTGTTAAGACCTAAAGTGATACTTCTATCCACTGTTAGACTTATTTCTGTGTATTTCGTGTTTTTAGGTACTTTCCCACTGAAACAATTAAAACCAAGCTTTTATGATGAAAAGAATGATAAAGAAGTTTATCAAGTTGTTGCCAGTCATTCAAAGCAAGCCGAGAGTCAAAATGGTGAATTTTGTGGAGTTTCAAGTTCAGGAGCTCGAGCCACAGTTTTATGGTTCGAGCTTAGTAGAAAAAGACAAGAAATTCCAAAGGCAAGAAAGCTCGAGCCCTGACCCTCAAAGCTCGAGCCCAACCATTGGGTGCTTGAGCCTTTGCCTAAGAGCTCGAGCACATGATGCGTCAAAATGTGAAAAGTTGATCCAAGCTCCCAGGACCTCGTGCCAAGCCTCAAGGATCAACCGTTAACACCTCCCAGAGCCCAAGAGCTCGAGCCCAACACCTTGGGATCGAGCACCATGAAGAGAGGATCGAGTACCAACAATAAAAAGACATTTCGGAAAATTTTTGCTCCCAAAGCTCGAGCCCAACTCAGAAAGCTCGAGCACAACCACTCAGGGCTCGAGCATTGTTGAAAATTCTGGGCTGCTTCAGTATTTTGGGCATAACTTTTGACTCAAAATTCCAAATTGAACAAACTTAATGGCTCTAGAAAGAAGACTCGAAACCCGATGTTTTTGTCTCTAATAGACATCTCAAGATTCATGCTCTAAATGGGTCAAAATCACATTACAATGTCAGAACAAGTTGTTGGCAGGTGAAGCTCGAGCCCTAACTCCAGAGCTCGAGCTTTGACGTCCTGAAGGTTAAAAATACATGCGGGAATTATATATTTTGACTCCTCTTTGTTTCCTTATGGGCCCAATTTTACCAAAAGCTGTAAAACCAATCCAAAGGGGATTGTGACTTGTTCTCCACTATAAAAGAAGAGGAGAAGGGCACATAAAATCTCTCTCTTCCATAGTTATTAATCTCTCTCTCACGGCGGCTTTTAGGGTTTTGGAGAAGAAGATCCAAAAGGAGTTTTGGTAGTCTATGGTGATGAAGACCACAACAACATAGATGATATCTTGTGTTGTCATGAGTAGTTAATTCATCTCTTAGGGCATTGATGTAGCTCGAATCCGAATACAATGGTTTGATTGCTCTATAGTTTGGGAATTTAATATATTATATATTTTGATTGTATGATGATGGGCAATTGAGCCAACTCAATTGGTGTTTAATTAATTAATAGTTTTTGAATAGTTATTACTTTGTCTTAGATATAACTGCTAATAAATTATTCTCAACCCATTCTTATTGGACGATATCTCGCGGAGCCCTGTCGAACATAAGAATGGAGATCATGCAATAGTATTCAAACGTTTTTCATGAATCAACTCTTTCATAGTCTATGCTTAGGGAAGACGAGTTATATTGCAATATTAGTTAGAAGTAGATAGGTAGATAATTTGTGCCAACCGAAGATAGGTTATAGTTAGCTAATGTGATACCCCCGGATTACCGGATGCGGGTTGGCCAGGACAACAGCCGAATACCCGAGGATATAAAAAACAAATCGGTAATAATTGAACACATAGTACAAAATAGATAAATAAGAATAGATAAATTGCTGAAAGAAACTAAAATAATAATCCATTACTAAAATCCTCAGAATAAATTTTCATTAATAAATAAACTCTTCTGATATAATTAATCCTCCAAATAATACAACTCGGGAATCCATACTCTGTGGATCCCTAGAAAATCCCAACTGAACAAATGACAACAATAACTGTCTACATCAGAATACTGAATCATAAAGGAACTCCTAACTAGATAATCTGGAAGAGTGAAGTAGACTGATCCCTGCTCAGCACGAACAACCTCTACTCCTGACGAACACCTGAAAATTAATGGAGGGTCAGACTCACAAACAAGTTCTACTCTACTACAATCCAAGCAGAGACCCGATACATGTATACATCCTAGTCAATCCAACAATAACTAGTAGTTAGTATATATATAGATACACACTATAGGACGCTCACTGGACTATAGGTCTGTCTCAACCTAAATAGAAGGCAACATGCAAATAGCACATAAAGTGGGTGTGATGTCCCTCATTTTTCTGATTTTTTGAGCATTTCACATTTTAGCATATTAATTCATTTCATTGTCTCGAGTTGTATGCCATGCATAGGATTGCATGTCACGAAGGTTTTATAGTGTTTTGGGATGTTTTGTTGAGTTTGGAATAAATCAATATGCTTCGGGAACCATTTGGACAGTTTTTGGATTTTTGGCCCTAGCGACCCGTGTGGGTCCCACGCCGGGATTTTTGGGTTTCATGTTATTTTTTTTAATTGAAAATAATTATTTTAGATGTCTTTTATATTATTCATAAGGGTGGAATGGTCATTTGAAGAAGTGGTGGCGTTGTAGTAGTTTAATGAGGAGGTGAGGGCAATTTGGTCTTTTGGCAAGGTCACACTTTTGACCGAGGCATTGTTTGCCACCTACATATATACTTGGTAGATTTTTGGGAGTGTTGTATGACTCCTCATGCAGAACTTCAGCTGTAGTTTCTTGTGTCATTTTCCATCATCTTTTTCTTCCTTTTATTTCCTTCATGGTGAGCCATCTTTAAGCTCACAATTGAGAGACTTATGGTGAGAGTTTGATGGTACTATGTGAATGAAAAATGTTCCCAAGGGTATGAGTTTTCCATTGATATAGATAGTAAACCCATTCCTTCATCATTAGTATTCAAATTTGCCTTGGAAAGGAAGGAGTTTGGTTGTGCTACAAAGGAGGAATTTTGTTCTTCATTTTCTCCATTTTTGGTGATTTTGATCTACTACTTGGTTAGTGATCGGTTGGTCAATTAACATCAACCTTCGCAATAGCACGAATCATTGTAAAATAGGGCTATTGGTCAGGTAAGTCGAACCACTGGTACTGCGCTAGTCTATGACAACCTAAGAGTCTAGATTACTTTTAGAATGATAAGGGGGTATATAGAGTTTTGTTGGTTTGTCACTTAGTCACTAGAATTGAAATGTGCTTAAAGAAATAAATTGCAATGAAATTGAAGAAGTGAGATACAAGTAGAAAAGACTAGGGAGATGAATTCACTCCAACCCTATACACATGCTAGATTAAGATTAAATTGGGGAAAAACAACACAAATGATGGTCATGATACATGGAAACACTTGGTTGCTATAGTATTTTCAAGAAGTTCATTAAATCAACAACAAGAATAATCCATCAAAGGTTCACATACTCAAGCCACCTAAACTAGGGTGTAGCCGTCACATGCTCCCTAAGCCCAAGATTATCAAGTCCTTAATGGAATGATGAAAGCACATAAAATTAGGAATTAAGCATAGACCATCAAAGGGGGATCCTAAGCAATGGACTATCTAAGTTCTCCAACTTCATGTCAATAAAACCGTTTCATGATCTAACTTCCATTGTCACTATGAAAGTGTAAGCATTATGATTAAGAGAAGCAATCATCTAAGACAAGAGGAATAACTCAAAATAATCATGTATAGACATTAAAGTTCATTACAACAAATATGATGCTCTAGATCATAAAATAACCAAAAACTATACATTGTTCTCCCCAAAATAAAATCTACACTAGCACATGCTTACAAGGGAGGAGCTTCATCACCTCCCTAGAGAAGATTTAGTTACCCATAGGAGCAATGGAAGAAGGAAGAATCTTGAAGACCTCCTCCATTTTCGTGCTCCCTTCTTCAAGCTTGAAGAACTCTCTCTCCTTGCTCTCTTCTCTCTCCAAAATCTTGTAGAATGAAGGATAATGAAAATGTGTGGCTCTCCCCTCTTTATCTAGATAAGAAATCCACCCAAAAAGCTCTCTCTCTCCTCTAAGAAACATCTCCAACCAACTCATAAAGGAAAGCTTTCAAAGTAGGTAAAATCTGAGCACAAGTGGGCTGAGTCGTGTAGAATTCTGCCCTAATTTCGAGTGCTCGAAATAGGGCCTCGAGCACTCAAAAATTGGGCAGAATGCCCTATTCTCCATTTGCTCCGTCTGGACCTACTTTGATGAAATGGCCATAACTTTGCGTTCCAAACTCTGAATGATGAACCGTTTGAAGATTTGGAAAGCTAATTCAGAGATTTAAATACTTCATGTTTTGGTAGAGATCCAATTCTCAAGAATGGTTGGTCAAAAATGAAGATCAAGGCAGAATTTCATTGCTGCCAGGCAGTTCTGCGCACCTCTGGTAACAAGTCCATAACTCTCTGCTCCGAGCTCCGAATGACAAACCGTTTGAAGATTTAGAAAGCTAATTCAGAGATCTAAATATTTTATGTTATGAGGGAAGTCCAGTTCTTGAGTTTGGAAGGTCAAAATGGTGAGCAAAGTCCAGGTTCTACTGCTGCCAGAATTCAGCATTGGCACCTTTTGTTGCTCAAGATTCCACAAGGCCTTATTCTTGTTCCATTTTGGCCAATGAACCTGAAAATGCATAAAAACATAGAAATGAAGATAATCTATATAAATTAACATACAACAGACTTTACTAATGCAATTTAGGGCGCTTGAATATACAATATTCGGCGCTTATCACACCCCCAAACTTACATTTTGCTAGTCCCTTAACAAAACTACAATGAAAAATTTAATGAAAAGACAACCATGGGCATGCTACTACAAAAATATCATCCATAGTAAAATGAGATATATACATAGCTCAAAAATAACTTGAAACAGAAAAAGAGCTGGAGATGGGGTCATACTAAACACATTTCAACATGCATGTATCAACATCATAGTCCATATAAATAACTCAATTGTCATCTCTTAAATGGAAATCAACTCTAACTTCAGTGAAAGTGGATTGGATTCTCAACATGCGGCTTTTACTTTCTTTTCCAATTTCCAAGCACAAGTTTTCAAATCATTGAATTCCCCTTTAAATGAGGTCCCTAAGGCATGATTTTATTTACAAGACAACTTTTGTTGCTTGTTGACAATTTATTGTAACTCATAAGCGAAACATAGAATGGTTGTGCAATGCTGAAGTCCCTTAAGCTTTCTAACCAACCTATGTATCAAGCGTTAGGCCAACAACTCCCAAACCAGATGGCTTTAGGATGTTAAGTGTAGAGACACTCCTAGGGCTTAATAGCTTAAGTTGGAAAGGCTACGAACTCCAACGAACCATGCTTATTACAATTTTTTTTGAATGACCGTGCAATGTTTAAGTCCTTTAAGCTTTCTAACCAACCCTTGTAGTAAGTGTTAGGCCAACAACTCCCAAACCAGATGGCTTTAGGGTGCTAAGTGTATAGACACTCCTAGGGCTTAATAGCTCGAGTTGGAAAGGCTACGAACGTCAACTGGTCATTTTTTTTCTTTCTTTCTCAGTTTTTTTTTTTTAGACAACTTAAATCATGCCAAAGATATTCATTTATCAGGTTCATCAAATCAAATTAACTAGGCCAAGGTCAAGGTCAATCAAGTTGCATGCCTCACAGTTAAGTTTTCAATGTGCATCTGTGCATTGTGAAGCTTAAAAGAGTGTCAAATCCAGCGAGAATCTAATTGAGACATTTATATAGACTGATTTGAATCCACATGATCATTTCAACTCAAATTTTTCTTTATTTTCAAAAATGTCAATTGCTTCTATACACAAGGTATTAAACATATGCTTCATCTCCAACTAGTGTCAAGTTATACTATCATTGCTTAGCAAAAATGCAAAACCAAAAATGCATAAATGCACCCCTAAACTTGAATAACACAGTGTCCTCAATGTGTGAAGACAAGCATACCAAAATAAGAGCAAAGGGGGGAAAAGAACAATAATACCAAGTGGAGTGACGACGACGTAGATGTGCAGCCATGTGAGTGCGCAACGGCGTCCCCCAAACTTGGACATGAAGACCTATCAAAACATAACTAATCTACACAGGTAAAAACATAGGCTCGTAAGAAAAACCAAAACAGAAATAAAAACACTAACCTGAATTTTAGTGCAAGATAAAAATCTAAACAAAACACAAATGCAGACATTAGCCATAAGTTTAAAATAGATAACAAAATAGGGCCAAAAGTGGGGAATTTAGAGAGATGAAGTTGGCTCAGGAATTTTGTCGAACAGGTGGTGTGCAAGACAAAAATTCTAGGCAAAGACAATGTATGGTGCATGAAAACCCAAAAATTTGTAGACAAAAATGCTCTCTAGCCTAGAGCAACATCAACAATCATAATCAACCCTCCAAAATTGTCAATCCCACACTCCTCAAAATGAGCACAACAAATTTATTTATTTATTTATTATTTTATTATTATTATTATTATTATTATTATTATTTTTTTTTTTTTGTTGTTTTTGGTTTTTTTTTTTTTGAATGGCATGCATGAGGGTTTAAAGAGAGAGAGGAGGTTGGTGGTTTGCCGAGATAGAGAGATGAGGGTTGGATGTGTGTTGGGGTTGGATGGTTGTGACTTGGAGGTGGTAAAGTGGTGGTTTGGATGAGGAAGTTTGGTGAAGTTGGTTGGATGGTTGGGTTGTGGAGAGAGAGAGGGTTGGTGAGGGAGGATGCCGAGAGGTGAAAAAACTCAAGGAATGGCGAGCACTCGAAGCTTGGCTTCGAGTACTCTAGAATTTGGCAGAGAGGGTGTTTGGTGCATGCAAGGTTGAGGAGGGGTTTGCATGGGGGTTTGATGGTTAGGTTGGTATGATTGAATGATGGTTTGAGGTTGAGATGAGCTCGGTTAGATTATATGGTTGAGGTGGTTTATAATTGGTAGGTTGATGGAGCTTGAAGTTGCCGAGAGAGAGAGAGGTTTGGAGGTGGTTGGAGGTGTATGCAGGGTGTGGGTTTGCATGGTTTGAGGAGCTTGCTGCATGCATGGAGATCGTGGGTTTGCATGGTGGGATGAGAGGGAGGCCGAGAAAGTTGGGTGGGTTGGTGAAGGAGTGCCGAGAGGTGGTTGGGTTGGGGTGAGGGTTGGATGGTGGGGTGGTGTTTCGAGCACTCGGCAGGGGAGTGAGAGAGCTCGAATGGAGGGCAGTGAGCTCGGGATGTTTGGTGTGAGGAAGGTCGAGTAAGCTCGAGCACTCGAAATGCTTCTTCGAGTGCTCGAGAAACCGGTAGAGAGTGGAAATGGAGGGTTGGTGTGTGGCATGGCTCGGGTTGAGAGAGAGAGAGAGGGAAGGTTTGTGGTGGGTTTGGTGGTAGCCGAGAGTGGGGATGGTTTGTGGGATAAGTTAAGAGGGATGGGTTAGTGGAGATTGCATGGTGGTGAGGGTGAAGTTGCCGGGTGGTGAAGAGTGGATGGGGAGGTGTGTGTGATGTTGGTTGAGAGAGAGAGGAGAGCATGCATGATGGGCATGCATGAGGGGATGGTGGGGAGGTGAGAGAGAGAAGGAGTTGTATGATGAGTGTTGGGATAGTTGGGGTGAGAGAGAGAGAATGCTGTGTGTGCGAGGTCATGGGGTTAGGGAGGGTTGGTTGGTTTTGCCGAGGGGTGGTGTTGTGTTGGGGGAGAGGTTGGTTGTGGGTGGTAAGGACTAGGTTTGTATGCATGGGATGGGTTGATGGGTGGTTTAGTTTGTAGATGAGATGGCCGAGAGGAAGAGAAGGCGATGAGGGTGAGGCAACGAGTGCTCGGGGCGTTGGCATGAGGTGTTCGAGCACTCGCTAGGGGGAGCTCGAGTGCTCGAAATGGAGCCAGTAGGTTCGGTATGTTGGGGTTGGCTATTGAGAGAGAAAGAAGGTGGAGTTCGAGCACTCCAAATAGGCTTGATGAGTGCTCGAACTGAGAGCAGTGAGTTGGGTGGGTTGGGGCATGAAATTCGAGCGCTCAAACTAGAATTTAGAGTGCTCGAAAATGGCTCAGTAGGCTAGGGGGTGAGCTCGGCTGTGAGGATTGAAGCAAGGAGTGAAAGGGAAAACATGCAAGACAGTGAGCACCATGGAAGTTGAATTTGTTGCAATGCAATATGGAATGTGAGCAACATGGAAATGGAAGCTGTTCAAAATGGAGTCCATGCATGGAAATTCCATGCATTTGCATTTGCAATCTCATTCCATGGGAGACAGTGAGCACTATTGCATGCATTTTCATGCATTTTGATGCATTTGCAACATCATTCCAGGAATTTTGCAAGTTGGCGACTTGGAAACAAAAAATTTTGCATGTCATTCCCATGGAATGGAAGAATTTCTGAAAATTTTCAAATTGTCTCATAATGCTTGAATGAATTAAAGAAAATTTTTAAATTGCATCATCTTTGGAAAATTTCTAGACTTTGAATGAATGTGAAAATTTTGGAATTTTTGAATATCTCTTCAATGCAACATCACACAATTCATGGAAAATTTTTAAAACTTGCAATGTCAATCCAATGCATGGATTAATTTTTTGAAAATTCTTCAAACTTTGCAACAATTTGGGAAAAATTTCAAACCATTCCACATCACTTTAAGCTTTTGCAACCTCACACGATTCATTGAAAATTTTTGAGAATTTTTTTTTTTTTTTTAAGAATGCAATAAAAATGAGAGTTTATGCACATGAGTAGCATTCCAAAGCCAATGAAATTGCCGGATAGAGCTGAAAATTTCCAGGAGTGAAAAAAAAAATTTCAGAAGGTCTAGGAAAGCCTAATGTGAAGTTTGGAACGCAATTAGAGACACTTCCGGAGGAGGTCAAATTTTTGGCTTTCCTTAGCGAATTTCCAGAAAACTCAAGGCTCAGGCAATTTTATTGGGAGAGGGAAGCTTGAACATCGAAAGAATTTCTTCCCTTACTTTGCTAAATTTAATGTCGATAGCTAGACGAAGTTAGAGTAGGCACTAATCCTCAAAAATCTCGATAGCTAGACATACCGAGATCAGGTTAGTCCTCCTTACCCTATACCATGTCTCTCTAGAGATTCAAGCTTTCCTAAGTAAGAAAGTTCTTTTGGAAGCGGAAGAAAAAGAACTTGAAGACAAAAGTTGGAAAGAGGTAATGGAAAGACCTCAATCCACTCTTCATCCTCAATGAAGAACTTTGGACTATGGGGCTGATTTGGATTATAGGAAGATGGAGTAGGTGAGAGTGCACCTAGCAAAGGCTTTTGAAGGGTCATATTGAGCACGGGAATGCTCGACAACTTATCTTTCAAAATTTCAACATCCTCCTCACACTTATCCGGCGGTTCGGGCTCAACAACTTGAGACAACTCAAGTGAGGGAATGGGATGAGATGCAAGCTCCCAAGAAAGAGATACATTTGATGTTGACCAAGGAAGAGAATGAATGGGTGGATGAATATTAAGCAAAGAATTCACCTCTGAAATGGAATTGTCAACATTAAAATCCTCACAATTGAAATGAGCCAAACAAGCTTTTAGAGGATCCTCCATTGAAGGAGGTGCATCAAGCAAAGGATTATTTAGGGGTTGTTCTGGAGTTTTAAAGGATGCAATCTCATCATCTTTTTCCTCATTTTTAACCACAAATTCTTCCATTTTATGAGTGGCAACAATTTGATTTTTAACCACCATTTCATCATTTTCACATGTAATAACCACTTGATCATTCTCATGATGAAAGTTACTAGGAGTAATCTCATCATTCATAGAATTTTCTTTTGGATTGGCCATAAATTCAAATGAAAATATTTCCTCCTCTTCATGATTTTTAGCATTAATCCTTTGTTGAATTTGAGATATTTGGTCATCTATCATTGCACTAACTTGGGACTGGTGATATGGTACCACTTGATTGATAGACTCTACTGTGGATTGCATGCTAGCAAGGGAAGCCAATAGTTGATTGTTGGAGTCCATCATTTGCGTGTGCATAGACTCCATCATTTGTTTGTTAGCAACAATTAGCTCATCCAATGGAGACGGTGGAAAAGGAGAAGGGGGCGGGAAAGAATGATCATTGGGTTGAAAAGGTTGCATATGAGATTGTGGGGTTGAATTTCCTATGTCATGCCACAAGAAGTTTTGTTGGTCTCCCCAACCCGAGTTGTAACCATTGAAGTATGGATCACTACCCAGTTCAAAGAAATTTTCATTTGGTTGCTCTAGATAAAAATTCGAGAATTGTCTCGTTGGAAGACAATCTCTTGTATGATGTGAATTACTAGAGCAAAAAGCACAAAACGCATGTGGTGTGTAGAATTGAGTTGGGAGATAATTATTCTCCATCTAGGAGTTAAACATCAACAACACACAACATAATCAACACAACAATTCTTTATCATCAACTCCACATACAATGATATTCCCTTTCTCCTCAATTATCAAGACAAAAATTAAAATGGCCACGACAAGGACCGATGCTTGGAATTGAAAATACACAATTGAAATAGCCTCGACAAGGGCTTGCAATTTATCTACTTCTAAGCTTAACACATGCACGATATTCACAATTCGAAACTAGAAGGTCAAGAGACTTACCCGGGGTCCTCTAGACTTACAATTTGCTAGCATTCCCCACGACGAGGTTCGAGTTCCTAGAATCTCACTTACAACACAAAAATGGTTAAACCACACAAGAAATATTCACAAAACACAGTATTCACAATTAAACTAAATTTAACCTTAGAAACTTCGGTTGCTAAACCGTTTGCAGTCCCCGGCAACGGCGCCAAAAATTGATCGGTTGGTCAATTAACATCAACCTTCGCAATAGCACGAATCATTGTAAAATAGGGCTATTGGTCAGGTAAGTCGAACCACTGGGACTGCGCTAGTCTATGACAACCTAAGAGTCTAGATTACTTTTAGAATGATGAGGGGGTATATAGAGTTTTGTTGGTTTGTCACTTAGTCACTAGAATTGAAATGTGCTTAAAGAAATAAATTGCAATGAAATTGAAGAAGTGAGATACAAGTAGAAAAGACTAGGGAGATGAATTCACTCCAACCCTATACACATGCTAGATTAAGATTAAA